TCAGGGCCGGCTGCCAGCCCACCCGGTAGAAGCAAGATGGCCGCCAAGGTACAGTTAGTTAAGTCAACAAAGCATTCCAAGGCTGCGCGGGAACAAGACAGGCTTCAACAAATTCCATGCTCTCGTTTGTGGCAGAGTTTTTATTTCCTTATTGTATTTGGTTTGTTAATGCATTGGCAAAAATAAACTCCTATTGCCACCATAGAGCTACCTTTAGACATACACAGTGATTAGCATGACCAAATGAAATTTAAGGTAAACTTCCTAGCATTCATGTACACTCCTTCTGACATGTCAAAGTGTGGCTATTTTGAGAGTGTTTTCCTGCAGCATTAAAATGCTTTCTAAATGCTTTAAGAGGACGCGCATTTCAAAGAAAAGGGTACTTTGGGTCATGCCAAAGTCTCACTTCTGAACTTCCTACCTGTTTGAAAGTAATCAGCCAAGTCTCATGCGAAAACTCCAAAATGGGAAGAGCTGAGACGCCAAAAATACATTAGTTTTAAAAGTGTTTTATATGATATACTGCCTTTCAAGTAAAACCCTTTCATACTCGCCTTGGTGGAGTGGCCTTTTCAATTAAAGCAGACAGTATAACTCCTCGAGACTTTCCATAAGTTAAAAGAAGGCTAGGTGCTTGCAGCCTGAAAGAGGAGGGAGAGTATATGTTTTCGTCTAAGCCAAAGTCCAGTTCGCTCAGTCAAAAGCAAGTGACCGTAGGCCATACAGGTAGTAGAATAAACAAGGCAGTCACGAAGACTCGTAAACTCTTTTGCACATTATACTGCTTCTCAAACAGATGTGCCCTTACATTTGTACGTCTTCTTAAAATTTCCTAGGCCTGATTTTTTGAAAATTTGTTTCACTACTCGCTCAAAGCTTGTTTAAAGCTGTAAAAACCAGAATACCGGTTGCATTTATTGTTGAATTTGTATCATCAATCATTTATGGGGGCGCGTTACTTGGTTTTGGCGCATGCTCATGCAGTTTTGTCGCTTTCGCGATTTTGCTCGGGGCCTTACTAAGGTTTTGACGTAAGAGGTCTTTTCTGTTATCTTTGGCCAAGTCAGCCTAGGCCTCCACCAAACTTGCTTTATCGTCGCTTTTTGGCCATTGAAGCAACCCCTAAAAAGGTAGTGTTTCCTTTTTCCTTGAGTATTTGGGCGTTAGAAACGCTTTCCATGGATGCAGTGGGGCTTTTTCTTTGCATGCACTGGAGCTGTTGCCTACTTCAGTATGTATGCCGTTACTAGTGGCAAAGAAAGTAAGTTGGGTTGCGTTAAATTTGTCATAGCTGCTGTCTCAATTGACGACGTTTCCGTTTGGCAGTAGATTTATGTTTTGAGACATATGCTTTGCCATTCAGATTGACTCCTGAAAATTATGTTTAGCTATGCAAAGGATATCCTCAAACTTCGGTCAGATAGCGATTGGGGGGGATTTTCGCTTGCGTGATCAAACAGGCATGGAGGTTACTTTGGCTGATTTCAAGGGGAAATGGGTTCTCGTCTACTTTGGATTCTGTCGGTGTCCTGACATCTGCCCTGAGCAACTGGAACGTCTTATTGAAGTTCAAGATCGACTAGGTTAGTGTTTTCTTCGATCACTGAGACCGGTGTGGTGATTTGTTCTTTATTTTGTTTATTTTTTAAAGCTCTCTATGGCAAGGATAAGGACTTCGTACCTATCTTCATAACCGTGGATCCAGAAAGAGATACTCCTGAAGTTGTCGGAGAATATGTGAGGGGTGTGTCCATACAAACCTATGATTTTTATGGCCTTGAAAAGAAATTTGGTTTGCAGGGCAGACGTTAACTAACGGCCACAGTTCCTATTTCTTCTTATCCATATGCTGATAGGTTTGTCCGGGAAATATTGTGCCTGACCAGTGGACCTCAAAATATTTCATTTTACCTGTAAAGGCCCATTTTGGAAGTTTCTGTTGCTCTTCTCGATCGAAATTCGGTATTTATGTCAAACCTCAAACTTTTTAGCTCCATGCTTTACGCATTCCTCTGACTTATATACCTTTTGTTATAATTTGGTCTTTTTCGTAGAGGGCATTGATTAATGATGAGATGTTTAGCTTTGCGGGCGCCTATATTTAACACCAGCTAGAGTAGAAGGTATCGGCTTACCTGATTGATCCAACTCTTCACATAAGCAACGGCGTACCGTTAGTGGCACGATTTCTTTTTACGATCGCCTCTTATTCAATTCAGCTCAATGCTCAAGGATTGTTTAGATAGCCAATCGGAGCAACGTCAACACGTGGAAGTTTATCCAGTTTTGCTTGGACTCCATATAGGAAGATGTACACAAATAGTTTTTTTTTCGATTTCGGTAGGCCTGGATGAATCTTCTCCCTTTGTCTTCTGCAGATTAGTGCTTGTATAAGTGTCTATTTGCGAGCTCTTTCGAGCCTTCCCAATTAAAAGTTAATTTTCGTTTAGATGCAGTGCATCCTGCTGTTTGTACTCGAAGAACTTGACCTGTTTGTTTTTTCGCTTTCAGAATTTTCGCCAAAACTAGTCGGACTTACTGGTTCGCCAGAACAGATTCAGGTGACTGCGAAGAGGTACCGTATTTACTACAGCAAGGGACCACCAGATTGTGATGGTGACTACATTGTAAGCCGTTTCACTACTTTAGTTGCCCCTTTTTCTCCAGAAATCGGAGTTTCGACTCTTGTTAGTATAATCTCCGTAGTTGATGGGATTAGTATGTTGGAGTGCATTTTTTCCGCTAACACAGGTGGACCACACTGTGGTGATGTACCTCCTGAATCCGAAGGGCGAATTTGTGGAATTCTATGGCCAGGTGAAGCCAGTGCAGGAAATCGTTCGACGAATTATGGATCATATGAAGAAGTACATAGGATGATGAAGCCACTCAGCTGTCTTTTCTCGCAATCATTCATCGGTTGGCTCCACAGTCCACTAATTTTTAACTTTAACCTTCAACTTTCCTATAGCTAAATAGTGATTTAAGGGAATGTAGTTATTCCAACTCCCACCTTTCTATCACCTTACCTTCGTATTTTTAAGGAACCATTTTCACTATTTCTTTATGCGTGTAAAAATATAATTCGTCCGTGTGTTTTACTGCTTGTGTCTGTTATACGAATCGGGAGTATCATTGGAATTATTCCGTTAGTAGGAAGATCTTAACTACTGTTCGCTCATCAGTTTTATACTTTCGAAAATTGTCTGTTTCAGCAAACAAAGCACATTTTAACCTCGTTCTGGATCACACACTGACATTTGGCTTTTCGTAGCTGTTTGCAAACGTGCCTCGAAGGGCTGACGGTGTCACATGGTCACCGATGCCGAGGCAGGTCTTGACATGGATTGCGGTGGGCTTTGTCACCGCACCACAGTCCTAAACACAATTCCCTGGTGGCTTGTCTACTGCTTCTAGGTTGCGTTGGATGGTCTGGGGATGTTGCACTATTGGTTTGGAGCTGGGTAGTTCCTTTCAGGAGTGGCAATGTCAGCAAATCGGTGATGTACAACTGAAGGGTGTAGCAGCTCAACAAGGTTCCACTGTTTATAATGTAAGGCCTGAGCATCCAACATAGGCGCTCTACATCATCATCATTTTACACTGCACACCAAAAATTGCACGATTACACGTACACAAAGCAGTGAGTTGGGAATGAAGTAGAGCGTGGCTTAGACGTGTAGAGTGGGTGATGTAGTGTTGGGATAACCGATGATGACGCGTTTATTGGCATGACAGGAGGTGGAGTACAAAACCA